TTCCCATAATAAAATTGATAGCAGTGATTTAAAATCCTTGTTATAACTCTGAATTACTTTGTTACTGCAGATGTCTCATTATCCTAGTAAAAAGCACACACAACAAAAAACACCTGTCTAAAAAACAGAACATGGTAAAAACCAATACTTGAGTCTCTACACCTGAATATTTATATCATCCAAAGGAAGCACTCTGGCATTTTCAATTTTCTAACAGCCAAATCAATCTATTCATGTATTTTAAAGGTACTAAAAACATGGGGGAAAATTTTGTACATTTTAAAGTGCTGAAGATTTATATAGAAAATCAATTACTTCCTCTTACTACACAGTGCATAAGTTACAAAACATATCCTGGGGACAAGTCAAAAACCGAAGCCAATCTACCAGGGTATAGTACTTCCTGATTTCCTGATGCTTTGTAGCATTAAAGACATTCCCACAATTTCTAGGAATGCAACATAAGCCAGGACTGAGGCCAGGACACAGAACAGAGGTGAGGAAGACAGAGGCTTTGCAAAACTTGTTTTTAATGCTTAAAGAATATGAGGCTATCCTCTAGGTCTTTCTAGTCTTCATCTCAAATTAAAAATGAAGACCGCGTGACTTTTTTGCAATAAATATCAAACACAGTTATAAAGATAACTGTTCAGATGATGTTTGCATCCTCAAATTCATTTTATAACAGTTAAAGTGAAGAAGGAACATTTTAAATAAAAGTTGCAAGTTTGGAGTCCAGATTCCCAAGGATCTATAAAGATGGGAAGGGGCGATTCAATAACAAGCTAATGCATTCATCCTGTTGCTTTGCTTTTGACTGGAATGATATGAAGCCAGAGTGAAGATGGGTTATCCTATGCTGATGAGAAGTGCTAATTTCCACATATATTTTAGATGAATAAAGATGTAGGACAGAATTATTTTTGGATAAAGATTTACTAGAGGGTATAATTCAAAATGATTGTCCTTGAGAGGAAAAGTAATAACAAGAGTTTGTAATGAGTAAAAATACTGTATACTTGGAACATCCAAATATAGCTTTTCCTGGAAGCATAGTCTTAACAGATTTATTAAAGATCTTGGAATGGAATCATCCTGGATTACTACAGTCAATATCCAATGAAGGGGCTAATTCATGTCAATGTATGACAAAAACCACTACAATATTGTAAAGTAATTAGCCTCCAACTAATAAAAATAAATGAAAAAAAAAAATATCCAATGAAGGTATCCTTGTAAGAAGCGAGGACATACAGACACACAGAGGAAGTGATGCAGAGATGGAGGCAGATTTCTGAGAGACGTATCTCCAAGCTGAGGAATGTCAAGGGCTGCCAGCGCCCACCAGAGGTTAGGAGACAAACATGAGACAGAGTTTCCCACAGAGCTTCCAGAAGGAATGACCTCTACAGAAACCTTGATTTTGGATTTCTGGTTTCTCTTGGATTGAAAAAAAAAAAAAAATCATGTTGTTTCTAGCCACCACGTTTGTGGTAATTTGTTATGACTCCCTAGGACTAATACAGTATCCTTGATAAGAAAAATTCTAATACTTGCTATTCTATACTAAAAAAAAAAATATCCAATGAAGGTATCCTTGTAAGAAGCGAGGACATACAGACACACAGAGGAAGTGATGCAGAGATGGAGGCAGATTTCTGAGAGACGTATCTCCAAGCTGAGGAATGTCAAGGGCTGCCAGCGCCCACCAGAGGTTAGGAGACAAACATGAGACAGAGTTTCCCACAGAGCTTCCAGAAGGAATGACCTCTACAGAAACCTTGATTTTGGATTTCTGGTTTCTCTTGGATTGAAAAAAAAAAAATCATGTTGTTTCTAGCCACCACGTTTGTGGTAATTTGTTATGACTCCCTAGGACTAATACAGTATCCTTGATAAGAAAAATTCTAATACTTGCTATTCTATACTGTGATCTTCTTAAATGATTTTACTTTTTTAGAGAGAAAATTCCAAGCGTTTGTACATTTAGAGATTCAGAAGCTTGGCTTGATAATACTGAGCTGAATGTGTTAAATCCCATTTGGCAAAAACCCCATAAATACTAAACAATTCATATCAGTAAGGTCTTTTGGCCACATGGTTACCACTCTTCATTTATTTTCTTGACTAACTCCTTCTTAGCTGTTCAATGGGCACAGAGTTAGTCAGTGGCATGAAATAGTCAATCTTGGTAACCAAGTGTTATGACATTAGAGTCTTGATATTTTATTTGCTTTCATTTTATATACATGGTTAAAAATACATAATTCACTGTTGCACAATTAAGAAATAATCACTTAATATTTTGGTATTTACACTATATTATTCTAAATCTTTTCTTAAGAAATTTTTTGGTTTATAAATATGGACTCATACTTAATATTGATTTCAAACTGAGCTATTCACTTAGTATGTTTTAAATATTTAGCATATAATTTAATATTTACACTTCAATATTTGCAATAGATATACAGTATTTCATGATATGATTGTGTCTGAATTTTCTAGGTAACTGCCTACAGTTAGATACTTAGGGTCTTTTTTTCTGATGCAATGAATATGTTTTTAGTTTAAAACTTTGCAAAAAAATATGTCTGCAGAATTGGAATAAACTCCTAAAGTTGGAAACCTGAATCATATATTTATAGATACATACACACATGCACACTTGTATATAACAAAAATCTCCACATTGCTTTCTGGAAAGATTCTAGAATCATTCTGTCCCACAAGTGGTATATAAAAGTTCATCTTTCTCATATGCTTTCCAAAACAATGTATCATCATTCATTTTTATCTTTATTACTTTAATCAAAGGAGAATGCTAACTCATTTTTCTTTTACTTTGCATTTCCTTACTAATGAGATTAAACATTTTATTAGGCTTGTTGGCCATTTATAGTTCTGTAAATTGAACATACATTTTTTAGTTTTTCTACTAGAATGCTCATATTTTAATGAATTATTTTATTAAAAAAGGAAGTTTATTTTATACTTTTAATGTTTTTCATTGGAGAAGGAAAATCAATGGTTAAAAATGTTTCTGGGCTTCAAATTCCTATATCTAGAAATTACACTAAAATTTTTTCAGCAAGATTTTTTAATTTTGGTGATTTCTTGTAAAGTAAACTACTTTTATGTTGTGCCAAATAGTCCAACGAGAACATATGCCTCATTTCAATTGCTTCTACCTTCTAATCATTTTATCAGGTAAAGAGACATAGCATCTTGGCTTTCTTTAAGCTTTTTAAATGTCATGGTGTTTATTTTTCTTTTTAAAGTAGTTTTTATTGGAGCAGAGTTGATTTACAGTGTTGTGCTAATTTCTATGGAAAAGCAAAGTAAATTGACTATACATATACACCCTTCCTTTTGGGACTTCCTTCCCGTTCAGGACACCGCAGGGTTTGCAGAGTTCCCTGCAGAAAGGCAGTAGAGTCCCCTGTGCTTCAGAAAGTTCTCATCAGTTATCTATTTTATAGGTGGTATCACAGTGTCTGTGTCAATCCTAATCTTCCAACAGAGTGTCATAACTTCCATTTAGGAGACTTTGTCCAGATATAAAACAAGTCATGTGATTTTTGGCAATCTATTTTGGAAGCACACTCACCATTGTATTACCATTTTATAGGCATAAGAGGCACAAACTTACGGGGAAAAACTAAGTTTCTATCAAGTCTCATACTGTAGGCTGAGCAAGTAGCTTAAGTTGTGTGTGCGTGTTTTACGATTTCAGATAGAAATTTACTAGTATTCTATGTCAAGAAAGGAATAAATAAGGAATTAGTTCTCATCTGTGATGAATGTTTACTTGATTTTCTGTAAGCTATGAGCTTTAATTTGCCTGCTGCCATGAATCAAGTTTATGTGCCATGACACACACGTTTAATTTGACCCACTGATTCCTGCCTTTTCTATCTGCTTTGCTTCCCAAACCCCCTGTTCTCATTGGTACTATCAAGCCTCAAATGTTGCTGCTAGACCAAGCCATCCCCATGTAACGTGCTGATGGACAAGCAGAGAATTCCACACTTGTGCATTCTCCGGAAGTGCTGGCTTCCCGGGGACTGTCAGGAGGTATGGAATAGTTAACAACCTGTTGTGGGCTTACTTTGACCAATGACAGACAAGAGAGAAACGGCTCATACTTCCTATCCAGCCATCCACACTGGGCCCCAGTAGTTCAACTGGCTTCTGAAACCTCCTCTCTCCTACCCTGACCCCCACCCCCAACACCACACAAGAACAAGCTGGCTTTAGATTTGTTCTAACTTGTGGCCAGTTCAAGAAGTCATCATTTGATTTATGTTCCTCCTTGGTTCACTTCTCTTGTTCCTTCATGCTTGCCTTCCTGGGCTTGTACCCTAAATGCATTAACTCGAAGGCCTGGCTTAGTCTCTGTTTTTCCAGGAATTGGACTGACAGATATTAATGGTTCCAACAGTTAAAGGAAATATATGACAATTCATCTTATATATATAAAAAAATTATCTTAAAACTACATGGAAATTGGGTCCAGTTTTAACCCACCATGAATTTTACCAATATTGCTACAGAAGTGAATTTACTTTTATATTTATGGAAAGTGGAATAATTGATCTCTTCATTCTCCAAACCACCCCTCTCTCCATTTTCCAGCCTCATTCTCACTCCTGGAGTTTGGGCAGAGAAGGCTCAAAATGACTTAAACTTGGAACCATGTGATTACATGATTTTAAAAGTTATTAAACAGTTAAATGTTATTTGATGGCAGAAATGGTTAAGTTAGCAATACTAATATGGATAAAAATTCAACAATACATTTATTAAAATGGTGATACAGAAGCAACACATGTCGTGATAGCATTACAGGGAATCAAGTTAAAAATATAAAGTTGTTCATACCAGTACATGCCACCTACCAGGAGAAAAATGAATGTTCCCTTGAAGTGAGAGTATATTTTATTGCCGAGGCATTTGATTCACCAAAACCTTCTAGGACCACAGACGGGAACACTGACCTGTGAACAGGTACCAGAGGTTATTTGGCTCCAGTGTTTCCATCTCACCCCTGCGGGTTGTCTTTCTGTGTCGAATTTTATAACCGGTAATAAATCCATTTTGTGTTCCTGATGGAGGAGGCAGCCAGCTTACTTTGATACTCTGTAAAATAACAGATGTAAATTACATCATTAGAGAAAGGAAGAACAACAAGATAGGGTCAAAGAACTGACCCAAACCTAACTGCAAATAAGGCAGAAATGCAAGAAGTGTTAGAGATTATCCCTCAGAACCAAGTTAAATCCACTCTTAGAGCTGTGTGTCTGATTTTGACAAATTTACACAATTCATTTGATTGATTACACGCATTACTATCTCTCCACTGCCAATGCCACGAAAATGACAATAAATAATCTAAATGGTGTAAAGCCATAAGGAAATAGAGAATAGGGCACTAGTGGATGAAAGATGGTAACAAATTTTTAGAAGTTACAAAAGAAGAAAAGTATTGTGACCAAGCCAAAGGAGAAAGATGACATCTACATACCTCCTTAAAGACATTCATGAAAACAAGGTGATCAGCATGACAAAATTCAGGGAAGACTGGAAATTATTGCTTCCCGAGTACCGTAGAAAGCAGGTCTAAAGCATGGTTTTGAGATGATAGAAGATGGATTGAAAGTCCTACCACATTCAGCAAAGTCAGGCAGCTAACCCTCCATGAACTTGGAGTAGCCAGGAGCTTCATTTTCGAGGGATACTGAAATAGAAGCTGCAGAATCAGGGACACCAGCCACGGAAGAGGAGAGAGAAGGGTGAGAGTTAAGTCAACGACATGAGTCATTCAAGCCGTCTTCCTGCACCTGACACCTAGAGCAATGGCATCCAGGTGTGCACTTCCCAGACAGAATATCAGATCATTGTTCTGAGAATGAACAACTTTCAGAGAAAATTGAGAAGAATAAGAGAAAACAATACCCAGGTCCCTGACTAATCTCCCAACAGTGAGGATCCCACTTAATAACCCCCACTCGTGCACCAGAATTTGCACTTCATAATCGCCTGTAGAGTACTGCATTTTTATGTAAACTGATAATTCATGACTATCAGACACTGAAACAAAGCCTTTGGCAAAACAGCCAGAGAGAAAAGCATGTAAGAGCGTGACGGCACTTGAAGGGAACAGCATTAGTGTTTAAAGCAGGAAAAGGGTCCAAAGAACTGTCATTAATACCCTAATAATCAAAGAGAAGATACTGACTCAATAGTGTAAAAGTACAAGAAAGATAAAAGATTTTTAAAAGCCTATGACATTCATAATTTTGTTGCATAAATTAAATATGCAATAGATAAATTGGAAAATAAATGAGTAGAAACCTTCCAAAATTCAGGAGGGGGGGAAATGACAATCAAGGGAAATAAGAGAGAAAAGATAAGAAATTAGTGGTTTAATTCATAATTTCTGACACTCAGCTAGTGAGATAAGAGAACAAAGGAGCAGGATAAAGAAAAGGCTAAAAATTAGCAACAAGAAAACAAAGCAAAACAAAAAAACACAAAATCCTCCTTTCGATAAAAATTTTGCATAACTAGAAGATTGAGAATTCATTCTGAAAGGGATTATGGAATATCTAACATAATAAATGAAAAGAATAACATTAATAAATGAAAAGAATCATATTGTAAGAAACACTAGAGAATCATGGGGAAGGGAAGATCTAAAATCTTCCAGAATGGATGAAAAAAAAGAAAAAAGAGTATATAAATTACAATCAGGAGAAAAATAGCATCAGATTTCTTAAAAACAAACAAAATCTTAAGATTGAAAAGAATATTTAAACCTAGAATTTCATGTCTAGTCAAATAAACTATGATGTGAGAGGAAAATACAACACAAATGTTTGAACACATACTAGTATAGGTATAGGGATATTTCAGATATGAATGGCTTCCAAGATATCCATCTGTGTACCCTTTACCAGGGGGCTAATGAAGGTATGCTCCAGAAAAATGAGAGGCAAACTAAGAAAGGAAAAGATCTGAAATCCCACAAACAGAGAATCCAAAACCAAAAGAGAAATATGGAATTACGCTTTACCAGGCGGCTAATGAATGTATGCTCCAGAAAAAATGAGAGGCAAACTAAGAAAGGAAAAGATCTGAAATCCAACAAGCAGAGAATCCAAAACAGAAAGAGAAATGTGGATTTTTCAGAAAGATAGTGAGGAAAACAGCAAGGCTGGGTTTTAAAGGACACTAGTCCAAAGAGTACATACTGCATAATTCCACTGATACCAAGTTCCAGAATAGACAAAACTAATCTACAGTAACGCAAATCAGAGAAGCAGTTGCCTATGGTAATTGCACTGGAAAATTGGTTGGATACGGGTACAAGGAAAGTTTTTGGGTAACAAAACTGCATCATAGTTCAAGTTTGTTATATGGGTGAATACAATTGTCAAAACACGTTGCTATGGGCTAAATTTTGAACTCCTCCTAACCCACCCTCCAAAGACCCCAATTCATATGCTGATATCCTAATCCCCAATACCTCAGAAAGTTATTTAGAGATAGGGCTTTAAAATAGGTAATTAAGGTTAGATGAAGCCATTAGTGCGGGCTAAAATCCAACATGACTGGTATCATAACAAGAAAAGATTAGAACACAGATACACACTGAGGAAGCTCACGTGATGACATTGGAAGAAGACACCCATCTATGAGTTAAGGAGCGAGGACTCAGAAGAAATAACTCTACAATAAATCTTGACCTTGGACTTCCAGCCTCCAGAACCGTGAGAGAATAAACACCTGTGATTTAAGCCACTTAGTCTGTGGAACCTGTTATGACAGCCCTAAAAAATTAATACACTCATGGAACTGAACATTTAGGGTTTCTGCATTTCACTTCTAATTACACTTCATCCAAGGAAGTAGGAATAGAAGGAAAACAAGGAAGAAGAGAAGGAAGGGAAAAGGAAGAAGCCTGGGGAAGGAAATGGGGGTGTACGTGCGCTGAATTCTGACATAACAATAACGCAGTCAATGATCTGTAACACTGGTGAATTAAAATTAGGGAATTAAGGGCCATTAAAGGCACACTAATGAGAAACATAAAGGTACATGCCAGAAGAAATAACAGCTAAAAGTGATGGATATGGGAACCGGAAGGAATGAGAACAGTCTGGAGACAGGGAAAACTCTAGTGGTCTTTGTTATAAGCCTCACTGATATTATTTAACCTAAAATAATACATATGTAATATTTTGATGAAATTTTAAATTAATTTATAAAAAACAAACACACAAAATTGTTCTTTGAGACCAATCGAAAAATAAATGCTCATCAGAGGCAAAAATCCCTGAGTTGGGAAGATCCCCTGGAGAAGGAAATGGCAACCAACTCCAGGATTCTTGCCTGAGAAATCCCATGGACACAGGAGCATAGCGGACTATAGTCCATGGGGCTGCAAAGAATCGGACACGACTGAGCGACTAACGATGAACTAACTAAACTCCGTGCCAAGGGATGGATCTCTGAACCCTCGGTCCACAACCCTAGGACCACTCTGATATTTCAGTTACGTGGGCCTAGCAGAGACACAACAGTGTGCTCCGGTGATATGGGAGCTTGAGCCCTTTCTTCCACATCTGCTACAAACTAGCTAGCTCTCTACAAATGATTCAGTTTATGTAAAAGGATTTTAAAAAGTCATCTAAAGTCACAGCTATTTGCTCAGCATTAAAAAAGAAAAAAATCAAAGAACATGTCAACTAGAATCAGTTCTCATCACTTGCAGTAGTTATTTTCTGTAAAGGTACTTGCAGACACTGAATTTGGAAATACTGTAATATTGTTCCTAGGTAAAATAAAGTTCAGGTTCTACTGAGACTTTGGTAACAACATTTTTGTCAACTCATCAATACCTGACCTAGTTTTATATGCACTCCTGTTTAATGGCACTTTATTTAATATCATCATTGATGCATTAACATTGAACTCACAATCAAGAAGACAACAGTGCACAGCTGAACAAAGCTTATCTAATACCTGTATTTTCTCCTTAAGGCACACTGCAGCCTTTATGCACTGAGGGACACTAGACAACACCTCAGCATTATACTTGGGGACCATTTTTAACCAGCAAACTTTCCAAAGGAAATCAATCAATAAATGCCAAAAAGTGCATTTATTTGACCACAAAAGAGACACTTGGTTAAAATATGAGAATTGAAACAGGCAACATAGCATCTCCTTGTTCAGCCTCAGCTGGGAAAATGTGTTCCTGGAGACACAAAGTTTTCACTGATCCCCAGAGGTGCAGTGTGCAAGTCAACAGATGACTGTAGAGACACTGTGGGTATTGATTTGGGGGTACAAATAAATTTTAGCACGTAGGTGAATTTGCAGATATAGAGTCTACAAAAAATAAGAATCAAATACAATGATATAATTGCATTCTCATCTCTCTCTGAAAAGAGATGGGAATACCAAACCACCTAATCTGCCTCTTGAGAAATCTGTATGCAGGTCAGGAAGCAACAGTTAGAACTGGACATGGAACAACAGACTGGTTCCCAATAGGAAAAGGAGTACATCAAGGCTATCTATTGTCACCCTGCTTATTTAACTTATATGCAGAGTACATCATG